GGGCCGGAGTTGGGGGGATGTCCTTGGCCTTCCCTGTGGGCCGGAGGCAAATCCCCTCCCTGTCCTTCTTGCTTCCTGCCCCAGGCCCCGAGCTGAGGACGGAGAGCCCGGAGGACAAATCCCCCCGGCAGAGCCTGGTGGGAGAGGCCGTTTTGAAGGGCTCCATGGCGCAGGAAGGCAGCGGGGAGGAAAAGGGCCGGAGATCCCCCCACAGGAGGGGCTCCAAAGCCAGCCCAGGGTGCTCTGAGGAGGAAAGACCCAGCCTGTGCCGGGAAGGCGGCCGGAGCTTGAGGTGGAGCTCTGAGCTGGTGGTCCCTGAGCAGCCTCCCAGCAGGCAGAAGCCCTTCAGGTGCTTGGAATGTGGGAAGAGCTTCAGCCGGAGCTCCAACCTCCTCACCCACCAGCACATCCACACTGGGGAGCGTCCCTACACGTGTGGGGAATGTGGGAAGAGCTTCAGTGACAGCTCCACCCTGATCCGACACCAGCATATCCACACCCGGGAACAGCCCTACACATGTGGGGAGTGTGGGAAGAGCTTCAGCCGGAGCTCCAGCCTCCGCACCCACCAGCACATCCACACTGGGGAACAGCACTACACATGTAAGGAATGTAGGAAGAGCTTCAGTAACAGCTCCGCTCTCCACAACCACCAGCGCATCCACACTGGCGAACGTCCCTACACATGTGGGGAATGTGGGAAGAGCTTCAGGCAGAGCTCTGACCTCCACACCCACCAGCTCATCCACTCTGGGGAACGGCTTTACAAGTGCTTGGAATGTGGGAAGAGGTTTTACACCAGCTCCAATCTCCTGAAGCACCAGCGGACGCACACGGATGAGAGGCCCTTCCGCTGCACCGACTGCGGGAAGGGCTTCAACCGGAACTCCAACCTCATCACCCACCGGCGCATCCACACTGGGGAGAGGCCCTACAAGTGTGGGGAGTGTGGGAAGAGCTTCCCCAGGAACTCTGCCTTGACCAGACACCAACGGACCCACCGGTGAGGGAAGCCCTACCAGTGCCCCGACTGCGGGTAGAGCTTCGGCCGCTGCTTCCACCCCAAATGGCACCCTGATGGTGAGGCAACCCCTGGAGTCCAGTGACTGTCAGTCCATCCCTTTCGACCACAGAGGGCCAGTCCCCTTTCCCAGGGGCAGCTTCTTCCAACAGAACCCTTCTTGGAGGGTGTGTGGAGATTCCTGCCTTGGCTGGGGACCCCCCAAGGTCACTGCTGGAGGTTGAGAGCAGAGATCTCCCCATGAGCGTTGGTCTGGGGGAGTTCCATCCATCTCTAATTAAGAATTCTTGCTTTTGTGCCAGCTTGAGTAGAATTGCTTCAACAATTGCTTTAGTGTAGAACACTGTCCCGTCTTATCCTGTACTCCTGGTAGTTTTAGTGTGTATTTTGTGCATAAAAAATTCTGATTAAGATCTTTTGTCTGATTATTTATAACCTTAAATAATTCAATTCTATCAGATCTGATTTGCCATCATCAAACCTGGGGGACAAAAGTCGTTCAGTCATTCCTCTGTAATTCCTCTAAACTGAAAGTGTTGGCATAATCCAAGGCTGAGATTGGATCCAGCAGCTCCCAGCACCCCACGGTAATTTGGGAACTCAGGGGGCCACCACCCTTTGCCAGCCCCTCTGTGCCCAAAGACCCCCATGGGACCATCAGACCTGCGAGACCACCCCCTCTTTTCCACCCTTCTCCCTGTTCCTTCCACTTCTCCATGGTTCCCTCGATCCCCATTCCCCCCAAGATCACTTTAGGGGTCCCAACCCCCATTTTTCCCCCCCTCCCACCCATTTCCCATCATCCCCCAAACCTCAGTGCCCCTCCCCCTCCACTTTTGGGGGATCCACTCTCCTCCCACACAGTTTGGGGTCCCACCACCTCCTTATCCCTTCTGACCCCATTTTTCCCACCATCCCCCCCCTTTCCACACTCTGCTCACCCGAGAGCTCCTCGCCCACAGCCGGGGGGGCTCTCAGCACCACTAGTGCCCAGAGAAGTCCCCCCCTAAAAGGGGTTAGGTGGGGTTCTGGGTGGGCTTTGAGTGTGTTTGGGGGTCCTTGAGGGGCTGTGGGGAGGTGTTGGAGAAGTGCCCAGCACCTTTTGGGGTGAGCTGGGTGCTGTATTGAGGGGCAGGTGCCCTCCCAAAGCCCCCCCAGAGCGGGTTGACACGAGGGGACAGAGGGGGGTCCCCATTCCCGATCCATCCCGGGGCCGGTTCTGCCCCCTCCCAAACTCGGCTCCTCCCTCCGGGTCACCCCACGCCTCCCCCTCCAACTGCCCCGGAATAACCAGGACTGGGGAGAACTGGGAAGCTTTCCTGGGATCACTGGGATCAGCCGGGCACAGGCAGAGTGACAGCAGGGGAGGGGGGGGACACACAACCCCCCCAAAATCCTTGCGGGGACGGGGGGGTTCCAGGCTGGGCCCGAGGCCCCGGGGAGGGGCTGCGGCCGCCGCCGGCTCAGGAGCTCTGTGGGGAGAGAAAAGGGGGTGACACCGGGTGAGGTCCCCGGGGGGGCACTGACGCTCTGGGGGGGACACACGACCCCCTGGGACCCCCCTCACCTTCTGGCGCAGGTAGAAGCCGAGCCCCAGCGCCAGGGAGACGAAGGCCGAGAGGAAGCCTCCTGCCCCTCCTCATGAGCAATTCCTGAGGCTGATGGAGCCCAGCAGGGCCGGGGCCGCCGGCGGTGTCCGATCCCAGCAGGAAGCGGGGAGGGCCCCGGGGAGCGGCGGCAGCGGGCGGGGCCCTGGGGGAGCCGCCCCGAGGGGTCCCCGCCGCCCGTGGCACTGAAGGAGCCGCCCCGGGACGGGCCCTGGCGGGGGGCGCCAGAGAGGGGGGGCGAGCTCTGAACAGAATCAACTCCGGAGAATAAATCAAGGAAAACCAAAGAGCCGCGCCGGGGGAGTCTCCGCCGACCCGGAGCTAAAAGAGCTGCCCCGCGGGATGAGCGTGGAGTGGCGGCGGTGAAACAGTCGCCCGGGGTGTGGCGAGGGAGGTGGGATAGGAATAAAAGAGAGAATAGAGAGAGAAATCGCTTTGTCTTTCACCCCCCCCGCCCCCAACTCCCTTTTGTATACAAATAAAACCAGGGATCAACACGTGCTTCCCTTCCCCCTTTTCCCCTCAGGGGAACAAAAAACAAAAAAGAAAACTTTGGGAAAGAGGGAGAAAAGCCAACTCTGGAAAACTATCTCGTCTGAGATAAGTTGTGCTGCCAAAGGAAACGCTGACTCTAGAGGTGTCCAAGCGGCAGCAGAGCCCCCACCCTGCACACTCACACACTTCAGCTCAACATTGGGGTTTTCCCTCCCTGGCACTGCCCAGTCCAGCCCCTCCCTGGTCCCCCCATCTCCCTGCCCCTGCCCCACCCAGCAGAGCAGCACAGTCTGGCCCTGCAGCAGGACATGGAGGCCATGGAGCTCAGGGACAGGCCCTCTGTGTCTGCAATGCTCAGCACATCATCAGCTCAGGCAGCTCCTGCAGCCCCAGGGCCAGCCCCGCTCCCCAGCACAGCAGCAGAGAATCGGCCCCGGGCTCCTCAGGCCCCATTTGCCATCTCCAGGGGCACTGGCCACCACCAGCACCAGCTGGAGCAGCCTCAGCCCCTCAGCCCCCACAGTGGGACCCTGAGGACAGCACACGGACTCCAGGGAGAAACCAGCAAGGCAAGGACCCTCTGCAGAGTCTGGTCCTTGGGCTTGTTCTTGGGAGCCCTTGGGAAGAAGAGCTGAGGCTTCAGGCTGTGCCCGGAGCCAATGGAGCCCCTTGTGTGGTGGAAAGAGTGCAGTGGAGCCCAGCTCATCCCAGCAGTGCCATGGCCACAGGACTGACCCAGCCCAGCCCAGGGACCAAGGGCCAGAGCACTGAGGCCTCAGCCCAGGCCCAGAAGGGGAGGGTGGCAGGAGAAAAAGAGCAGCTCTCAACAGGCCAAATGCTGCTGCTCCCTGGCACTGCTGCTGTGCTGGGACTCTGTTTCCCTGCCCCTCTGCACACAGGCACTGCCCTGCCAGGCTCATCAGAGGTCTCAGAACATTGAACTCACAAAAACAAGTCACTGAAGGATCCTTGACTTTGTTTCAATGCATTCCTCATTTACACAGACTCTGGGTCAAATTCAAGATGTAGACAGTGAACCAGACATGGGATGAATAATCAATATTCACTGTACACAACTTTATCCCAGGAGAAAAACCACATGAAAATCCTGACCCAGCACCACAAAAACCTGAGCAGGCAGGCTGGAACAAGGAGTCCCATTCTGAATGCTATGGAAGAGAAAACAGGCCATTTGTGCCTTAAGAAAAGCATCCAGTCATCATTTTCCTCAGGGCATCCTTGAAGCAAAAGATTTCTTCAGACAGATGCCAGAGCTTGGCAGCAGGCTGTCCTTCTGAGCTTGGAAAATCTCTGCTAACTTACCTAACAATGGTACAAACCCCCCACGTTAATGTTGTCAAACAGCTGCATCTGCAGGATTCATGTTCCAGCATTACCTAATGCACAATTATCACACCTCTTTTTAAAATTAAAGGGGAGGAAAAAAAAAAACGGGGGCTGGGGGGAGACTCCCAACCCCAGTCATCCATCAAGTGTACATCCTGGCCACTGGTCCCAAGAAATTTAATATATGCTAAAAAGATAGAAAAAGACATAAAAAGCTTTCAGAAATAAGAGTGCTTTGGAAGCTAGATTTTAAGATTGCCAAGTGGGTTTTTGCCAGATTATAAAGTTGACTGAAATGCCAGGATACTGCATTTTGGAAGCGGCAGCAGCTCACATATTGCCTTGTATTAGTGGCTGAAGTGTGTTTCTGATTCCAAAGCTGGACTATCATCATCTGTGGGGGAGAGTGGATAAATAAATAAATAAAAATTGGCATTCCCTACCAACCCTGCTGCCTTGAAGCACTCTTTTCAAGTGCGGCATCCACAGGAAAAAAAGTTAAGAGCACTTTATTTTGATTATAGTGCTTTCCCCAGGCAGGAATTTTTATTTCAGTTAGAATCTTTGAACCATTACATTTTCAGTGAGGCATTTTTATATTTACAGTTGACATCTTCATAGAAGAATGAAATCTTTGAGCAACAGCTCTAAAGCATGAAGGTTGCTTGCAGTAAATACTTAAATTATTTTACTCCCAAATGGAGCCTGTTGTTTTTAGCTAAAATTTAATAAACCTTAAATCAATGACCTTTCTTTTACTGAAAGCCTGCCCTTTGGAAAACTAACTTTCCCAAGAAATATATTTTGGTGAATAAATGCCAAACAAAGGGCTATTGAAATCTAAACATTTTCTCCATTTACAGCTTGTGAACATTTAGTTCCTAAATTCCCGACTGCTACCAAATGTACAGAACAGTGGTGCCTTGGTTGAATCACATATCATTGATTTCAGAGTGTCACACTGATGTCATTGATAATAAATCCTTCCACTCATTACAGCACACTCAAAAGCACCCTGCTATTTAATTTCAAGGGAAAAATGGCCCAAAGTGTCTAAAACATTTCCTTTTGCTCATGTAAAAGTGCTGGCATTTTACTTCCTTCCTGATAAGCCAGTGCCAATGGACCTGATTATTCTTTTCTTATTCAAAGCACATCAGTAGTTCCAAAGCACCCTCAATCTTATCAGGGGTGTGAACAGCACAGTTACTGAAAACAGTTTGTACTGCTCCTCTCTCCTCCTGCCAGGCTATCAGACAAACCCAACTAACTCTCTGTATTCACACACAATCAAACAGAAGCTGTGTCTTCAACCCACTGTAGCCTGTTTCTGGCATGTTACAGGTTTGCTGCTTGACATGAGTTGTACCCAAAACAGCAGCAGTGAATTAGCTTAGAACAAAAATATAGTCCCTCCATAGCACGGAACGCAAAAGGCACACAGGATAGGGAAAAAAAAAGAGAAACATTTTGTGAAGTAAGAATGATCAGTCTCATCTCAGTAGTTCACAGGTATTTATCTGGTGCTACTTGAAAA